TATCCTCTCCTTTACATGGGCCGACCAGAGCAATTCAAGCCTCCCTGGGGACACGAAGAGCTTGTGCGGAAGAGCCCAAGTCATTGACTCCTCAACTACTCACTCCCAAAACATGAAAGGGAAGGCCGCTCTCTTCACCACAGCTATTGCTTCAGTCAGCCATGACGAACAAACCTGAACTCTAGGAATTGCTATCTGATCCATAAAATGCTCGTAAAATGGCTGGGAGATAAAATATGTGCCATCGGATCACTTCCTGCCTTCAAGGAATGCTTCAGCATTAACTTCTAGAGCTGGTTTGATCACCTACATTTTCACAAGAAGCTAAAATGCAACACAGCCATCACGTTTATGGCAGGGCAATGTATTGATATGAGTGTAAAACATTTACAACAATAACTAAAGGTCAGATGTGTAATACTTCCTTCTATCTTGGTTTACTGTGCAAAGACAACTGTAAGTAAGCCAGTCATAGGTCATGAGCAGAACTCTTTGTATGAATGATATGGGTGAGGCAAAAGATTCATAGGAGTTTTTGGGAAACCTGTAAGGAAACAATTATTATATTTGCAAAACCATTTGGTATTATTGTGGAGCAAACATGACGTCACCTTTTAAAAAGGCTTGAAATAATTACGTCAGTGACAATCTCAAAAGTTGATAAGCCTATTTACTTTTATGTTTAGCTGAATTTTATTTCTCAGTTAACACTGATTTGTGGCCCATTTTGAGATCTGTGACCCAATTTTGGATCATTACCAACCAGTTGAGATCCACAGAACTAGGTGATGGGTGAGCGAGAGCAATAGGATAACGCCGGTCTTGGACATCTTTTACAAACCACGTAACATAACAGCTGAGCACTTGGCTAAATATCGCAGCCTCTTATGGAAGCTGCTGCCAAAGATTAAGTTTCATATCAATCCCTAAAGAGCCAATGCATACTGCAGTATGAGAGAGAGAGAGAGAGAGAGAGAGAGGACGACACAGACAGAGATGGCAGCCGCGAGAACAGAGACTGTGTTCACTGTGCTCACAGAAAGAGCTGGAAACAGAGGAACATTTCTTACTGCACTGTGATTACTATCACAACATTAGAGCTGCATATTTCCCCAAATTCCAACAAATTAAACCACATTTTATGGCATTACCAAATACAGAAAAATTAAGTCACATTTTAGGGGAAGGTTCCAAAATGATCACAACAGCAGCAAGATATGTATCAGCCTGTCACAAACTAAGACTGTCAGCCAGTGGACAAAAAAACTGAAGCAAGAGCATTTCTTACAGTTTTTATTTATTTTTTTTCTTTCTTTTCAACAATGTCTTTAATATTTTTCTTGTTTGTGGAAAAAAAAAGGAAAAAAAAGAAAGTTCACATGTACTTATTTACTTAATTATTTTACATATCTATTGTGGTTTTGTTTATGTATTATATAATTGTTTATTCCTTATTCATGTAATGGACAATGCTTTGGCAATACTGTGCAAGTCATGCCAATAAAGCTCATTTGAATTTGAGAGAGAGAGAGAGAGAGAGAGAGAGAGAGAATTGAATTGAAATTGAGAGTCAGGTGAGCTCAGCACCACACATGCAGAAAACACTGAGACGCGCTCACCTTCCCGTTCTCCTCTTCCTCTCTCTCGTCGTCGCTGCATTCGCCGTCCTCTTCACCCAGAAACATGTCGG